CAATGGGTATCTGTGGTACTGTATACTGACACAGTGGATATTTGTGGTACTGTATACTGACACAGTGGATATTTGTGGTACTGTATACTGACACAGTGGATATTTGTGGTACTGTATACTGATACAGTGGATATCTGTGGTACTGTATACTGACACAGTGGATATTTGTGGTACTGTATACTGACACAGTGGATATCTGTGGTACTGTATACTGACACAGTGGATATCTGTGGTACTGTATACTGACACAGTGGATATCTGTGGTACTGTATACTGACACAGTGGATATTTGAGGTACTGTATACTGACACAGTGGATATTTGAACCTGTTGTAATGAAGTACTGCTGACAGTGAAAAGGAACCAGGACTACTTCCTGTAAATGACCTGTACCATGTCTGTGGTTGTGATCTCTGCAGAAGTTGGTCGGCAGCCATGAAGCTTCGTCTGTTCAGCTCTGGGTCTCCTACAACCGGCAGCCAATGAAAGCAGCTCGTTTTATGACTCGACATCCAATCACAGTGAGTGTTTCTTTCATCTATACTGAAGATTTATTGAAGTTTTCTTCCAGGTGGTCTCAGAACCCTTCACACCTTGACTGAAAACATTGTGTCGGTTGGTAAACAGCTCACATTTATCTGTTTACAATCACACTAACAGTTGTTACAGTCACATGAATCAATGACTTTCATAGATGATATTACTGATTCATGTGACTTTAACTGTTAGTTTATATGCCTGAATGGTCACATCTGTTTAGAGAACTGAAGAAACCGTTTAGATTAAAGGTAATAATATGTTCTAGAATGCAGAAACCCTTTAAACATGAAGACCTACTGTAAAGTGAACACCTGCAGTCCTGGACCAAAGTAAATTCAGTTCAGATCTGTTGTTCACATATAAATTACAATTCTGAACATCTGTTTTTCCTTCAGAACTTTTAAGACTGGAAGTTGTAACTGGTTCCTGTTGGTAATGTCAGCTGCACTGTTTGTCATCTCCTAAATAATTGTTATAAATCTCCCACCTGCATGCTGTTCTTGGGTAATGTGTACACACATTTAGGTAAAAAAAAACTGCAAAAAGACACAACATCAGAACATCAGAAAAATACAAAAAATCTTCAAATATGTATAGTTATTGTCATTTTGATGAATCATGTTAAGTTTCAGTTTTGCTTCATCTGGACCAAGATAGCTTCTCATCACCAATATCTGATAAATTAAACAGTCAAAGGAAAAACTGCATTGTACAAAGTCTGCAACAGAACTGATGTGTAACCAAATCATTTAGCTGTGAGGTAGCACCATGTGGCATCTCTGAACATGTGAGCTGCAACAAGCTGAAGTATAAATGTGACCCATCACATCGAAATGAGGATTAAGTCAAATTAGGTCAAAATGACCTAATTACATTTTCAGATTCTTG